TCTGTAAGACCCCTATTCTTAGCCTACTCCAAGGTGGTGGTGGGGGATGGTGCATCTACGAGCTTTTGGCATAGCAAATGGCTTCTTAAGTACCCCTCAAGCTTTCCTTTCCGCATATTTTTCGAAGGTTTGTGCAGAAAAATGCCTAGGTTCAATCTCTGGTCTCATCTAATGGCCATAATATCTTTTGGGATATCCCTCTAGACGTGAGGAGGGTTGGTGTTGAAGTTGAGCAATAATTCGTTGTCCTTATGGCCCTTCTTCACATTTTCTTCTACTCTCCGGGACGACCATACAAGGTTGTTTGGACTATAGAATTTAAAGGCTTTTTTTTTTCTCTCTCTTCTCTCTATAAGATTTTAAGCCATGATAGAGCTATCGAAGTAAATTTGAAAGTGATTAGATTTGGTTCTGCAGGGCAACCCTTAGGGTGCGGGCTTTTCTATGGCTGGTGGGTCTACGGCGGCCGCTTACTATTGATTAGTTGCAAAAGTGGGAGATGGTGCTTATTTCGGCCTGTCTTTTCTGCAAAATTGAGGAGACTTTGGATCACATCCTTCTCCACTGTCCCTATGCCTCAGAGGTCTGATTTTGTGGAGAATCCTTTTTGGGTATTTCGTCTCTATGGAAACAACGAAATTTGAGGTCTTTAGAAGGAAAGTCTCGTGATGCCATCTCCCTAATCCTTTCCATTCAAGCGATGGCTTCCACATATGCTAGGACTTCCAGCCCCTTTTTTTTTTTTATAGATAAGTAAAATGGGGCTTGGCAATACTACCACTAAGCCTCAAGTCATTCTCGAAAAAGTGGTAAGTCAGTAGAGATTTGGGCCCCCTGACTACCACCAAGCCTCAAGGCATTCTCGAAAAAGTGGTAAGTCAATAGAGATTTGGGCCCAATGAGAATGGAGTCAGAGACCTCACCATGAGACTCTGTAATACTACCACTAAAGCCACAAGTCATTCTTAAAAGTGGTAAGTCAGTGGTGATTTGAGCCCTTACCCTTTGATGAGAATGAAGTCAAAGATTTCACAATAAGACTCGGCAATACTATCACTAAAGCTACAAGCCATTCTGGCCAACCCCTTTCCTTCCGTGCCTAAAGAGCTTCTCTTCTCGCATTTTCTCTATCAGGAAACAGTGCTCTCGTTCGATGCTTTGCATTCACCCACTTGCTGGGTGGTTCGAGTTGAACTTCGATAGGAGTGTGTTATTGGATGAACAGCAAGCAGGTTTTGGAGGTCTCCTTAGAGATGATTCGGGTGCTATTCAGTAGACATATAGGGGACCAATGCACTTCTGTTATATTAATGACGTTGAATTAAGGGCAGTTCAAGAGGGGAATTCAATTGCTAAATCTGCTCGTCACCAGGCTGATCATAGAAGGCGATTCGGCTAATGTCATTTCTTGGTGTAAGGACCATGGAAGTTATTGACCTCTTCTATGGACATCTTCTTCTCTACTCTTGAAAGGGAGGTCATTTTCAACATATTTTTAGAGAAAGGAACTCCAATGCTGACCGATTAGCGAAATAGAAGGGGACTTCTTTATAAGATACCCCTAGTTTTCTTTTCTCCCTCCCTCACTCCTTTTGTCTCTCTTTTCGTTTTCTTCTCTTTCCCTTTTCCTCTCACCTTGTAAGGTTCTCTTCATTATCTTAATGAAAATTTATCTTTTAAAAAAACATGAATGAAAGATGATAGAATTGTGGTATTTACATTAGCTTAAACGTGCTTACACTACTAAAGGTAGATATATACAAACATCAAATTTAAGGGCAATGATTTTATGCAATGGTTGATAGAACAACTTTCAAAAACCATGTTACGGCCATTTGTTTGATACAAGTTTTTAAATATACACTCTTTTCATTCTAATGAACAGTCACAAAAAAGGAAAAATTGAAAATACAACTTAGAAAGTATTTTTTTAGCTCATTTTGGTGAAATGCTTAGATCTAGGCCTTGGAAGGATTTTTTCTTTTCCAATTTTTTTGGATGGCTTTATTATCATTAGATGAACAATGTTAAAAAAGAAAAGAATGATTTTGAGTTATAAAGGCTAAGATATTGAAATTCACTAAATGAATGGTCTAGATTCGTTTTTGGAGGGGACTCATTTTGATCATATCTAGGATTCAAATTGAACTTTTTTTTTTTTGGGATTGATTATTGAGATGAAGAGAGTGTGTGTACAAAATTTTGAATCATACAAATACTACAACCATGGTTTTCTAGAAGTGTCGTTGCATTATACTATGATACAACTATTGCATGAAATGAGATCGTGATCATCAGATCAACCCATATTCAATCTTGGCCGTTGGCGTTTACTGTAGCAGTCAGCCCATGGGCTGACATGATCTTTTTCCACACACACACACACACACACACACATACACACACACACACACATATATATATATGTAAAAGTCTTCCCAACGCCTATAGGCAAAAATGAATAGTGATTTCGTATATTCTCATCACTGTCCAAAGTTTATCGCAAGGTCACGATTGTCAGGTAGTGATTCATGTTTCATTTTTTTTCTACAAATCGAAATGATCTAAAATTCGAAATCCTAGTGAAGCGCACCTAATAAAAATATAAAAAAATAAATTGTGAAAAAAATAGTGATCAAAATACCCCTAAAACGTTTTGGGGTTATTTTGGTCAATTATGTCATATAAAATAATTTTTTGATATTTATCGTAGATTCACCTTTTTTTGATGAATACATGTTTGAAATTTCACATCATTCTGATTTTTATAAAAAGAAAGAAAAATAAAACACTATCGAATAATCGTGACCATGCAATGAACTTTAGACGGTGATGAGGGTAGGAAAAATCACTGTTCATTTTCGCCTATAGGCGTTTTGTAGTATTTTACTATATACATGTAGGAAAGCTATTCCCAACGCCTGTAAGTGAAAATGAACAGTGATTTCACCTACCCTCATCATCATCTAAACTTCATCGCCGGTCATAGTCGTTTAGTAGTGTTTCAATTTTTATTTTTTTTTTAAAAATCTAAATTAATTGAAATTTGGATCATGTATACATCTTAGTGTGGCACATCAAATAAAAATGTGAAAAAAATAATTCACAGAATACTCCGATTTGTAGATAAAAAATAAAAAATGAAATACTATCGAACAATCGTGACAGTACGATGAACTTTGGACAGTGATGATGGTAGGCGATATCACGGTTCATTTGTGCCTATAAGGGTTTTGTAGTATCTTCATA